TACAATGTTCTATCCAAACACAATTAACTACAAAGTTCTAGTAGGTGAACTGAATGAAGGAGAAACAACTCATGTCAGAAATGATGGATGGTACAGCAGATCAAACATTTGGGACATTGTTAACTTCTCCCTTTTTGTAACTAGTCTGCTACTAATTTTAGCAGAATGAATTACATACACACCAACTCTTTTAAACTAAACTTTATGCACTCTGTCTCATTTCTCTTGACTTCTAGTAAATCTGTAATTAAGATAATATAACATGTTTTTATAAATTTAGAGGAAAAAACAATCATGCAGAATGTTGACTCAATTGTTGTTATTGATGTTAGGTGCTATTGAGTCAAATATAACCCATAACGACCCTATGACGAACAGGTCTGAATGCTGTCCATTCCTATGCCACCCCATAATCTCTGACAAGCTAGAGCCCACTGATGCAATCATTGTTGTCATTCCTTCTGTTGAAGTTCTTCTTCTCTTTCACCATCCCTCCACCTTTCCAAGTATGATCTCCCTTTCCAAGGAACAGCCAGCCTCTCCTAGCAACTTGCCTCCAAAGAACACTCTGGCTACACCTTTTCCAAGACATATCTGTTTGTTCTTTTGGTCGTTCATGGGCTATTCATTATTCTTCTCCAACTCCATTGCTCGAATACATCAATTTTTCTTCTGTCATCATTATTCACTGTCCAGGTCTCTGACGTATAGCATATGAGTGAAAAGACCATGGCTTGAATCAGGTGCACCTTAGTCCTCACATTGACATCAGTGCTCCTCAGTAATTTGGAAACATTTCTGACTGCAGACTTTCCCAATACAATATGTCTCCTGATCTCCTGATTGCTGGTCAACACCAAGGGTGTTGGATCCTTACAAGGATCCAAGTAAGATGAATCTTTTCTCCATCTATTATGAGGTTGCTGAAAAGTGATGAGAATTTTTGTTTCCTTAATTTTGAGATGCAATCCAAATGTAAGGCTGTATTCTTTGATCTTTGGTAGCAAGCACTTCAAGTTCTTCTCACTTTCAGCAAGCAACGTTATATCATCTGCATAAATTGATTGATGGGGCTTCCTCTGATCTTGATGCCAAGTTTTTCTTTAGGGTTCAGCTTCTAGAATAATTTGCTCTGGATACATTTTGGATAGGTATGGAGAGAGGATACAACCCAGACACACACCTTTGTAAATTTTAAACCATGTATGTCTTTGAGTGGTAGTGCCAAAGAAGAGTGATGAAAATACATACTATGGACCATCAAGAGAACAAACAGGCCTATATATGAGAGGGTGAAACCAAGTTTCTTCTTGGAGGCAAGGATTTTTAAGCTCCATCCAGATACTTTGGGCATATTGCTAGAAGACACCAGTCCTTGAAGAAGGACATTATGCTTGGAAGGGTGGAGGGTCAGCTCAGGAGAGAAAGACCCCAGATGAGATGGATTGACACAGTAACTGGGGTAATAGGGGTAGGTGTGTCAGAGTCAGTGAGACTGGCTTAGGTTAGGGCAGGGTTCAGAGCTGCTGTACATAGGGTCACTATGAGTCACAGGAGCATAGTAACAACAGTGTTTCCTTGCTGTGTTTGACCAACACCCAATTGTTCTAGGTATGTTAAGTAATAGACTTTGTCTTCTTAGGAGCTGTTGAGTCAGCATAGCAACATCATGTACAACAACACTAAACAGTGCCCTATCCTGAGCCATCCTTACAATTGTTGCTATGTTTGACCCTGTTTTTGCAGCCATGGTGTCAATCTATCCTCCCCTTTTTAGCTGACTCTCTACTAAGTATAGTATCCTTCTTCAGAGTTTTGTCTCTCTTGAAAATATATCCAAAGTACGTGAGACAAAGTCTTGTCATCTTTTTTTCTATGGGGCATTTTGGCTTTACTTTTTCCAGGACCAATTTGTTCTTTCTTGTACCCATTTCTTGTAGCAGTTTAAAATTCTTAACACCATAACTCAAAGGCATAAGTCTTCAGTCTTCCTTATTAACTATCTGGCTTTAATACACATTTGAGGTGACTGAAAATACCATGGCTTGGATTAGGTGCATCTCAGCCCTCAAATTGACATCTTTGTATTTTCACACTTTAAAGAGATATTTAAAAGTAAACTTTCCCTGTGTAAATATATAAATTGATTGTTGCCTCTATGGTGTAGCCTTTGAATCAAATAAAATGACATCTCTGGAAACGTCAGTCTTCCCTGCATTTAGCATGATGCTGCTTATTGGCCCTGTTGTGAAGACTTCTGTTTTCTTTATGTTGTTGTGTAACTCATACAGCTTTGGTCTTCATCAGTTAAATGCTTTGCTTGAATCTTCTTTGCTTTCAGGAATCTGCATATCACAGGTTGCAATAATAGACTTACTGATATTAAAAAGAATGTCTTGGTGAAACACATTTCAAATATTTAGAGATTAATGTTAGTTATTGTTGTAAAGAAAAGTTGTAGTATAACAACCCATTTTCATTTTCCCCCTCCTTTTTGAAACCCCCAGTACCTGTGAGCCCCAAGACTTTGTTCACTCTACCTGATAAAAACCTCACTTTGTCCCTACAATTTGGAACACTGCAGCATGTTATCTGGATGTTTGTGTATCTCTTAATTTGGGAGTCTAAAACTTTCAAGATTTTTTTTTTTATTTCTGGCAGCATAAGGCTGATATGTCAGTATAATACAACAAAAACAGGAATGGCAGTCACCTCACTTAATTTATCTACTTCACCTCACTTAATTGATCTACTTCTTTCTAACCATTTAATTAACTTAAATGAGTACAGGTCTTCATGCGGTTCTGATCTTTTTATTGTTGAAGTTATGTACAACAGAGATCAAGAGATTGAGATTAATACTCTCTAGCCCTTATGCAAATAAGTATTGAGCATGAATTGAGTGCTCCTTGGACGCAAAGGTGATAAAACTTCCTCTCACAATCTTTGGGCCTGTTGCTAGGAAAGGCTATTCTTTGGAGAAGGACATCATACTTGGAAAGGTGGAGCATCAGCGAAGGAGAGGAAGACCCACAACCAGATGGATTGACACAGTGACTGCTACAATGGGCTTGAGTGTGTCAGAAACTGTGAGGATGGCATAGGATAGGGCAGGGTTCAGATTTGTTATTCATAGGGCCACTATGAGACATACTATTCTCAAGAGCACCTAAGAACAATCCCTGCAGAAAGGTACCATGATTGGTATAGGGTCAGTGGAAAAAGAGGAAGACTCAATAAGACTTATACAGTGGCTCAAACAATGGGCTCAAACACAGCACAGATTGTGAGGACTGTAGTAATGGGCAGTGCTTTGTTCTGTTGTGGGGTGCACTATGAGTGAGAACCAATTTGATGGAACCTAACAACAAATCTTGCCAGGGTGGGGACTATGCACCACCCCCACTTGAGAGTCAGGAGGCTGCTGAACTGAATGGATTGACAGCAGCAGGAGAGGAAAAAGAGAATCTGGAAGTGGGAAAGTTAGGGACTAGGTTGTTGTACTGTTGTTGTTATGTGCTGTCGAGTCGCCTGCGACTCATAGCGACCTTCTATGTACAACAGCCCTAAACTCTGCTCTATCCTGTGCCAATCTTATTGTCTCCAACACACCAATCCCCATTACTGAATCAATCTAGCTCATCAAAGGTCTTCCTCTCATGCACTGTCCCTCTCCAAGGACTGGTCCCTCCTTACAACATGTCCAAAGTATGTCAGACGGAGCCTCAGAATCCTTGCCTCCAAGAAGGTGCCCAGTTTAACCGTTTCCAGGATGAATCTGTTTGTTTTCCTAGCAGTTCATGGTACCCTCAACACTCTTCTCCAACACCAAAGCTCAAAGGCATCAACTCTCCTTCTATCCTCCCTAGTCATTGTCCAGCTCTCTGATGAATAGCAAGTAATTGCAAAGACCATGGCCTGTATCAGGCACACCTTAGTCTCCAGACTGACATTTTTGCTCTTCAGTACTTTGTAGAGGTCTCTGACAGCAAACTTTCCCAATGCAATTCATCTTTTAGTATTGTTGTTGTTGTTAAGTGCCATGCAGTGGTAGACGACTCACAGTGACCCCATTTAATGAAAGACCTGAAGGTCATTTCTCCATGTTCATCGAGTTTCCGGAGGCAAGCCATTTCTTTTAGTATTAGTTTATGAAATATTTCTGAGCATCAGAAATAGAATCATGAATAATCTGTGTGGCCCCACTTCATTGCCAAAAACCGTTGTTTGGGGTTGGTAATATTTAATAACCAAACCTATCATTGGAAGAAGTGCTTCTCAGGAGTGACTTCATCTCACATACTCTGGCCAGGTCATCAGGAGGAGACAGTTTCTGGAAAAGGATATTATGCTTGGAAAAGTGGAGGAAGAGTGAAAGAAAGGTAGAAGTCCCTTAAGAGATGGATTGATATAGTGCAACAGGTTTAAACAAGCAGAGACTCTGATGCTATGACAGGTCTTCTGTTCCAGTTATTAGACACTGGAACCTATCAATGACATCTAACAACATTTACGGTGAATTGGAGGCTCTTTCTTGCAGAACTGGGGGGGGAAACAGCGCCTGACCTCTCAGCTTCGGTGGTGGCGAGAACATAAAAGACCAGGTGGAGGGGGACAGATGGATGTTTTCCCTATAACTCAGTTTATTGGCCACAAGTACTTCATAGAGAAAGAACGACTCAGTATACTCACCTCCTCCCAACCAAACACCTATCACGCCGGGTCAAGTCTGAGCCAGAAAGGAAGATGTAGGAAGGGCGGGGGCAACACAACTGACCCACTAACCCAAGAAGCGCCCCAAACCCCACTACACTGCTAGAACGAGGAGTCCCCAGAGCGCAGACGCAACCGTGCACCGCTCCGCCCTAAGCCCCGCCCTTCTCTGGAGGAATGTTTAACGTTACCATGGAGTCTCGAGGGGCCCCGCGCCAGGGGCTTGTTGCCCGGGCAACCGAGGAAGCCCAAACGGGACCCAGTGGGCTTGGATAATAGTGGCTGAGATGGAGTCACACCCCGTTCATGGCCTGCCCTTCCTCCCTGGCTCGTCTTTTACAGACTCCACGGTGAGGACTCATCTGCTGATCTCCACCTGTTTTCACCTTTCTGCAGTTTTTAATCTTGTCTGTCTGGTGCATCTCCACTTTCCCCTCTCTGGATCTGTCCTCTCTCCTCAAACTTCTCCACTGCCCCCATTCACTACTGATTTTGCGCTGCAGTGCTGTTGCCCTAAGTCCGGTTCCATGCTTCTTTCCTCATCCGCCTTTTTCTCTCTCTTCACAACCCATTTATTGTGGTTTTCTACTCAACCTTGGCCCTCACTCTTAGCCTCCTATCCACTTGAATTACTTTCTTGTCTCTCTGTCTCCCATCCCCTCCAAACCCATACTTCTCCTTCTACATGACTTTTCCCATATTACTCCCAAGTTTTACAGGCCCTTTCTCCACTTAGTTCCCTGACACTGTTCCCTGTCTCTATTCAGCTTTGTCTTTAATCTCACTAAACTAGTCTACTCTTACTCCTCTCCTCATCCTCATTCCACAACTCTGTTTCCACCCACTGCCTCCTGACCCATCAATTTTGCATCACCTCTTCCGAATCCTGGACCCAGTCATCTCTCCTACCCACAGCTCCATTTCCTCTTTTGAGTCACTTTTCCACTCCTTTACTACTTTCTACAGGTCTTTTTCCTCAGCCTTGGCCAATCTCAGTTATGCTTCTACCCAAAATCATATCTGTACTGCATTCCTGCTTTTTTCTACAATCTCGTCACACCTTCTCATTATCCTTGTTTAATTTTCTTTCTCAATTATGGTTAGAGAATTAGACTTTCAACAATTGCCCTTCTCTCTCCCAAACCATTCTTTCCTGTTTCACAGGACATACTTCATTTCCATTCCCCCAACCACAATTGATTAGTTGCTCTAGTTTTGTTCTTCTCACTCTTTGTTCCATAAAAAAAATTTTTGCTTAAATTGTGCTTTTACCCCCTCCCCACAACCTTCAATATTTTCAGTTGCATTCTCGAAACAAAAGTGAAAAACAAAAGACACTTTCAATCTTTTCCTATCATGATATAGTTTTGTCCTTGACAAAATTGTTTAGTATTTATTTTCATTTTAACAGTTACTGATAGATATGTTTTGAAAAGTTAGTATTTGAGATTCAGTGGGAAGTGAATTGATTCTCATAGATAAGCCAATACTTACATTTACATAGTTTAATAATAATTAATTTCCATTTAAAGAATATAAATTGAAAGTTTAGTTAGGGAGTTGTATTGAGTTTCTTCTTGTAATTATTTTTGCCTTAAGACTTATCTTCATATGTCTTAGATTGGTTTTTTTTTGTTTCAGTGACTTTACATTTTATGTGGAGTAGATAAAATGGTTAATATGACTGCTGAGCAGAATATTGGAGGGGTGAGTTCATCCAGAAGTGCCTAGGAAGAAAGGTTTGGCAATCTACTATAAAATCAGACATTGAAAACCCTATGGTATACAGTTCTACTCTGACACACACAGGTCACTGTAAATCAGAACCTTTGTAATGCACCTGACTTTTAGTTTGTGGTTTAGAAGATGTTGTAGGCAATTTCTTGACCCCATGAAGGTACAGGGAGCTCTGGTGGTATAAGCTCTAGGGAGCTGTGATAAAGACATGTGTTAAAGGCTTGGTGTTGTGAAGTGTGGTTTACTTAAAAGGCACAACTAGGTTGATTTGGAGGATTCCTGAAGTATGGACTAGAC